GCTGACCAAGGCCTCTTAGACAGAATATCCGGAGGGAGACTAACCTCCACTGGAGTACAAAGCTAAGGCAATACACAAAGATCTCCAATACTGGAATGAATTCCAGTACAAAGCAATGAATTGACCGACTCTCGCACAATCAATTCACTACTATCAATCAAAGAAGATCTCTTAACCTAATCAGATTCTATCTATCATAGTTCAAAGCAGAAATCAAGAGAATGTGATCAAGATTCAATTGAATCAATAAAACATGCTTCAATTGATTAAAACCAACCAGTATAACATCCAAAAGTTCATACAAGAAAGATCCTAACACATGGAACTAGGGTTCCTCAAAACCTAGGTGAAGGGAAGAGAGAGAATGCAAAAATATGATCTAGATCTTCAATCTTCATCTCCAAGCTTGATTTCCGAGCTCCAATGGCAAAGAAATCCTCCAAAATATCTCCAAGAATGCTCCCAAGTCGCTCCTTCTCGTTAGGGCTCGTCCCTTGGGTGTTTGGGAACCAAAACCCATCTCTCTCTCTCTCTAAAATCATAGAAATCAGACGTATACCCGAGCAGGGGCAGAACCACGGTCGGGAACACGACCGTGTTTATTCCCGCCCGTCTTTTTAATCCCTTCAGCAGTCTTCACAAGAAAGGCTCGGCATAAAAAAATACCGGCAAGTGCAAAACACGGTCGTGTTTTTAGGGAAGTCTGCCCGTGTTTCTTGCTCAGCTCTTGTTTCACTGTCTTTGATGTTTCTTTTCTCCCTCGTCCAGACTCCGAATCAGTTGTCGTTTGATCTCAGACGTTTGTAGTCTTGTCATCTTTCTTTTCATGACAAACTTAGATGATTCCTTGTCCATAAAATGAGGTATAAATCCATTATTCTTGGGAGTTACTAATCGTCGCCCAAAATATTTAAAATAATCGCCCTAAACCCTAACGATATTACCCTCTTACCCTTAAAAAAATCGCCCTCCGACCGTCGTCAAAGAGGAAGAGGAACCGGGTGTCTCGGCGTCAGTGCCACCTCCCATTCTTCAATCCCCTCCTTCTTCAATCCTCCTGGCCTGTCCCGACGTCGACGTTGAATGGTGCGATGGAACGGCAGATCTGGAAGGGACGACATGGACGAGCTAGGAGGGACGACGCACGACGAGCTGGGAGGGATGACGACGACCTCGAAACTTTTTCCTCGATGGACGGCAGCAAAATCACATCGCTCGATTGGTGGCTGGGGAAGAAGGCAACAATTCTGACTCAATTCACAGTGATGGATTATGTATTGGCTGGCTCGGACGTGGGAGTGGGTTTCGGCGGCTTGTCTCTGGTTGGGCGGCGGCTTGTTTCTGGGACAATGGTGGGGTGCGGCGGAAAGCCTCTAAATGCAGAGGTTATTGGGTTTCGGCGGTGGATTTTTTTGGATTTTTGGTAATTTTGCAAAAGGGTAAAATTGTCAGTTTAGTATGGTTTAGGGCGATAATTTCAAATAGTTAGGGCGTCAAATAGAAATTCAGTTATTCTTCAGGTCATGCCCTAGTTTCTTCTTCCGAATCGCCAATTGATATCTGATTGACTTGAAACTTGCGCCTATGCTTCACTTTACCTGCTAGGACCTGAATTATGAAAAAATAACACAACCTAGCGTAAAATAGGCCAAGGAGAACACTAATCAAAGCCAAATTGATCAACATATAATGGTGTAAACATGTGTAAAAATGTAGTCATCAAATTCCCCACACTTAACCGTTTGCTTGTCCCCAAACAAACCTGACTCAAATCAATGCAACTCGCAAGACCTTTATAAAAACATGCAACCACGATCGTCTGTAGAAGACGTTCTAATTCATTTAGTAACTTACGAGGTCAACCAACGCACAAGACACCTCCTAGTTTCTTCAGCGAGGACTCTAATCCCGAGTTGGAATCATGCCAAGTAGTGATCGGAGGACAGGTGATTCGAGGACAAAGAGACTCTCAAAAACAGAAAGATCATGTACTCACTTTTTTAGGTGCTCTACCTTTAAAGATGGTTGGAACCCCCTTTCTTCTGTTTTTCCATTTTCTTGTTTCTTTTTTTTTCTCTTTTTCTTTCTTTTTGCAAGGGTTCCAACCTATTATTTCCAAAAAAAACGGGGCTCCCACCTAAAGAAAGGTTTGAGGGAACCCAGCTCTTACCGGCCATGTCGGGAGCATATGTCTCAAGCCTCGTGCAGGGGAAAGAGGTGTAAGGGAGCCGGAGGTAGTAGGTGGAAGTTGGGAACGAATTACCATCTCCCCTAACACACTTTCACCGATTTCCACACGGGAGACATTATTTTAAAAACACAATTTAGAGCACCTTTTTCAAAACATGATACATGAGTCCATGATGGGAGAGAGTCATCGATACCACACGATTCAAGCTTCCTAAGATCACTAATTCACACAATCAAACAACACAATATGAAAAAAAAAAGGAGACTTCTTAAATGCATCAACATCCTCCATAGTGCTACACTACCTCCCTAGGTTGCATGATACTATAAAGACTGTCAATTCAAAGCATACTGAGTAGGCAATTGTAGGGAACACATACTTGGAGCCCTCAAATCGAATATTTGGACAGTGCAGTAGACTCCAAGCAAACAAAGACAACCCAACATTCACACGCAAACACAATGGAACACCCCCCTCCCCACACACACTTAAGCACGACATTGTTCTCAATGGAGGAAAGATAAGTAAGGTATAACGAAGTTACTAGATCAAGTGTGAATGATGGTGTCCGGGGCAGGAGGTGCATTCCAGGTTATGAGAGAGAGCAGTCAGAACACAAACATCACACAAAATCTCACAAAGGTTGAGTTATTGACTCCAAAATCAAATAACAAAATGACTCAACCGAAGAGAAATAGGGAAAGAAATGCAAACCGACTAGTTTCTTTGCCTCCCAACAAACTCTTCTTTCACGTCGTGAGCCGGATGGGGGCTCCTAAGTTTTGGTCCATGCTAGAACCTCCTTGAAGTTGAGGTTTTCATCGATTAGGTGGAGTCTCAAGTCACGAGCATGTGGTATGGAAGGTGATGAAGGCTCGTGCACTTGACGCGGATGAAGTCTCCACCCTCGAGACCTCTTCTTCTCTTATTCTCTCGTCTCATTGCCCCAAACCAGATATGACAACAACGATTGACCAACATCGCGTCCACCAAGAGGGACCGATGTTGATGTGGTCTTGGTCTGGCAAAGAGACACTGGAAACGGGTCCTTGCCAAGTAGCTCCTTGAAGTTTGGTAGAGATATCACATGTAACTCATGGCCGGTGCAAGCCTCTTCTGCCTCAACTTCGTCCTCATCCTGGACGCCAATTGCTTCTTCAATCCCCCTAACTTACTCAGAATTTGATTCCTCCCCTTGGAAAAGATCAAGAACATCCTCTAATTCACTTTCGTCATCCTTCACAACTTTTTTCCTCGTCTTTTCTCGCTCTTCTTCTTCTTCTAGCATGGATTGGAGAGCAAGTCGCCAAGCAATTTCTTTCATGAGATCATCTTGCATCTCCTCGCTCAGGCCCAGCATGTCGTAGCATAAATGGGTCAGGGTATGATCTACCACCAGAGGACATTCCTGATCATTATTATCATGGGAGCTCTCCGTGACAATTTCTGTATGCTCCTCAACATCCTCATGATTGGCTTCTTCTTCCTCCTCCTTTACTTTTATTGTAGCATAAAGGCTATCTTCATCGAACTGTGCATAATCTTTCTCAATGACTCTATGTGCTTCTTTATGCTCAGGAGGGTCTCCTCTGTTTCACGGTAGGCGAGCTGAGTTTGTTCGATGGCCTGGATATGAAGATCCATCTTGGAGTATGATCTCTCAGTGTCTCGAGCAAACTGCTCAACAATAAGCCTCAATTGTTTATTCAGATCTTCCAGTGGAGTGTAGCATGGCTCTGCAGAAAGGCCCACGAAGGCCGCCATGGCTAACTCCAGCTCCGATGGCCCTTCTGGTTGTGGGAGGAATTCTTATTGATAAGCATATTGTTCTTGAGGTTCTCAAGGGTATGGTTGTTCTCCGTAGTACGGGGTTGGTACTAAAACCCGAATCCATAGTTTTTTCCTCATTGATTGCTCCACGAAGTCTCAGGGTAATACCACTCGGGTGGTGGTGGATACCCCCAGTGGTTGGAGAAGCCATGAGGATCCATGATTCAGATCTGCACCAACAAAAACAAAAACACCCAAGTGAAAAGCAAGGTTGGAAAAGAAAAACAAAAGAAAGAAAAACTAAATTAACAAACTTCTTCCTTTCCTAATAATCTAGAAAGTTCCCAGCAACGGTGATAACACCCAAATCGCTGTGCAGGGGTGTTGGATTCGTTCAACTCCAAAGAGACAATGGGTTGGAGTCCTCAGACACAAGAACAGGGGAAGGAAGGATGGATGATTCGAATGTGCAACTTCGCGCCGATTGGGGAAGAGGCTCGATCGAGTTTGTAATCGCAACTCGTCCACAATTGAGGTGTATACTCAATTGATACTGAGCTCGCTTGGCTGGTGGAATTTGATCCACGCAAACAAGGACAATTTTCACGAGACAAAGCTCAATGAACAAGTGTATTCTTTCTGATAAAACTTGGTTTGATTACAACACAAGAAGAACTTTAAATAGACTCTAGCTAGGCCCCTAACATGGTAAGGAGTCCTTAACCGGAACAATATTGAAAGGAAGCAAAATTCAACAAGGAAACTTAACCTGCAAGTAATAAGGAAAAGACAGAGTTTGACTTAGAATGCAAGTAAATGACATGACTCCACACCATCTTCAAGGCGTTCGAACGAAGCCTTCAAGCCGTTGATTCCATCATCCAACTCCCTGTCTCTGTAGTAGAAGATGCGAACTTTCATGAGGTAAGGAGCTCCTGCCTCGATCATCACTCTTCTTCCTGGAATAGAGCTCCAAAGTGAGCTTCTTGATCACACTCCCAGACTTAGCCAAATTCTGGTATTTTGCTAGTTTGTGCATACACTTTTGAACAGCTCGAACAATGAACTTCCTGACTTCCCTTCGAGCTCTCAAGCCTCCCGTTGTGTAGACAAACATCCCAGCTTCAAAAAGAGCACCTAAAACACCATTTTCATTTAACCAATTGAGCAAACCGAGCTCCCAAAGTGGGTTACCTGAAACTGTCAAAACACTTGGCCGAATCTCCAACTTCTTGTACGTGATCGAAGTAGCTTCTTGAATAATCAATTCCAACTTGTAGGGTGAATGTATGAGAATCATATCAGGACCCCCTTCTTCAAAAAGCTTTGTCCTCAAAGCGTGACCCTTCCTTCTGTCGAAATCCGTACAAAACTGCCCCCAAACCGGATCGGAATATGGGTGCTCGAACTGACAATTCTGGAAAAATAGTGCATTGTTCTTGATCCATGAGATTGGGGACTTTTGATTGAGGCAGTACCAATTCAATTCGTGATTACCACCAGCTTCGTGAGACTTCGAATCGCGTTTCTGGAGCATCCTCACCTCTCGATTCATCGTTGGCGGGGTTGAATCGTAGGTTCTATTTCTCCCGCCTTGGTCGACATTCAAACCTGCCAAGCCCATGAATTTTAATTCAGATTTGGGCATTTCGGATTCACGCTTAGCTGGAGAATTCGACGATTCCTAAAGCTTCCTGGGTTGATCCCTGATGATTCTGCAGTGGCGGCGTGTGCCGAATCGTCCCCAAGCACTCCCCTCCATTCCACCACTTTCCCTTCGTGTTCGAAGGCCAGCAGGGGTGTTGCACCTCAATCAACATCCTGTAAAATAGAAAAATTCGGCCCAAGCCAATCATTAGAAGAGCTTTCCAAGGATTCAGGGGATGTTTTGGCATCATTGGTGGAGTTCGTGGTGCTTCCCAGCTCGCCACCCAACTCCCCCTCTCTTGCTCTGTTTTGGCGAAGAAACACAGGATCGACGCCGGCGGGAAGCCTTCTTCTTCCGGTACCCAGTTAACATGAACCTTCGATGGGTTAGGGATGCCACATGGAGCTCGTTCTCACTAGATCCCCCTGCAGTTCGCCGTCGACCAGCCTCTAGCTGTTGTTGATCTTCGCGAACCTCCTCCGGGGTCAGAGGTCTCAGCAAGATCTTCCTTCCACCATGCTTCACCTTGTAGCAGTTGGTGCTGCCATAGTGAGATACACCTCTGTCAAACTACCATGGCCTGCCCAGAAGAAGGTGAGTAGCCTGCATTGGGGCAATGTCAAATGTGAGCTCGTCTATATATTCTCCAATTTCGAATTTGACGAGCTCCTGTCGTTGCACCTTAATGGCTCCGTAATCGTTAAGCCAATGTAAGTTGTATGGTTCGAGATGCCTGCTGGTTGTTAATCCAAGTCGTCTAACCACATCCTGGCTAATTACATTGGCACAGCTCTCGCCATCGACGATCACAGATAGCAACTGACCCTCAACATAACATCGAGTTTGAAAGAGGTTCTCTCGTTGACTTGCGTCGGGCTGGAGTGTGGCTGCGAGAGCTCTTCGGCTGACAGCGAACAATTTTCCTGGAGGTGGAGTTTCAACTTGAATTTCTTCATCGACCTTTTCTTCATCGGAACCAATTAGGGGTTCTTCCTCTTCCTCTTCCGAGTAATATTCGCCGTCCCTGAGCACGAGTGCTTTTCGGTTTGGGCATTGATTGGCCTTGTGTCCCCGCCCAAAACATTTGAAGCATTGAATTTGGGCGCTCGATCCTTCGATTTTGGATGGCTGGTTTCGAACAGCTACTTTGTCCCCTTCTGTTCGCACTGGATTCACAGGGCTGCTCGGAACAGGTTCTGCCCATGCTGCTGCTGGAAGTCGCCGACTTGCAAGGATTTTAGTTGCTTTTCCACCTTCATCGCAAGATGTACAGCTTCCTCCAACTCAACAAATGGTCGAAGCTCCACTTCGTATCGGATGTCCCTGTTTAATCCATGTAAGAACCTCGCGACGGTGGCTTCTCTATCCTCTCGGACATCGGCTCTCATTAACAGTAACTCAAACTCTTTATAATATTCGTCAACAGATCGCGAACCTTGCCGAATTCCTTGTAAGGAATCGAAGAGGTCCCTTTGATAGTACTCGGGAACAAAACGATCTCTCATTAGTCTTCTCAGCTCCTCCCAAGTTGCTACAACAGGCTGTCCGTTCCTTCGTCGTCGAAGCTGCACCTTCTACCACCACAATGCCGCGTAGTCCGTAAATTCATAGGTGGCAAGTGCGATCTTCTGGGAATCGGTGTAATTGCCACATTGAAAGAAGAGAATCATCTTTCTTTCCCAATCTAGGTAGGCTGAGACATTGTTGGATCCTGAGAAGGAAGGAATCGCAAGCTTGATTCCTTTTAGTTCGGCCACTGCAGCCTCTTCCTCTGCTTCTGGTGGTCGGAAATTTTGATCAAGCAATTCGTGGTTGAGGGGCGTCGGATTTCCTTCCGCGAGGATTAGTCGTCGTTCGAGATTTTGGATCCTGTCATCCAGCTCCGGGAAGGCGCCAATTGGGGCTGTTCGAGCTTGATCACCTCCTGGGTTGAGAACATGCTCTGCCACTCTCTCCGTCGGCACAGGGTTGCTTGCCGCAGTCTTCAATTCGGTCAAATGGCGGTTAATTTGATCAAATTGCGCCTGAAACGTGACGTTCAGCTGAGCCATAATTGTTTGAAGAAGTTCTGACGTATTGATTTTTTCCTCAGCCAATGGTGCCTTGTCAATTGAGGTCTCCTTCTCCGGCGTGGACTCTACGCGTGCTGTACTGGAGGAAACACGAGCAGCTGCTGGAGCCGCCTGCTTCTTCGTCGTCTGTTCAGATGGTCGAACAGCAGCAGGGTCACAGGAAAGGGCCCTTTGGATCTGGTCCACCTTTCAGTTCCGGCGACTCCTTCCGACGGCGAGATCGTTTTCCTAGCCACCGCACAGAAACCAGAATTCCTCACAAACGCCGCTGAGTTGAACCGGGCTCTGATACCACTTGATAACACCCAAATCGCTGTGCAGGGGTGTTGGATTCGTTCAACTCCAAAGACAATGGGTTGGAGTCCTCGGACACAAGAACAGGGGAAGGAAGGATGGATGATTCGAACGTGCAACTTCGCGCCGATTGGGGAAGAGGCTCGATCGAGTTTGTAATCTCAACTCGTCCACAATTGAGGTGTATACTCAATTGATACTGAGCTCGCTTGGCTGGTGGAATTCGATCCACGCAAACAAGGACAATTTTCACGAGACAAAGCTCAATGAACAAGTGTATTCTTTCTGATAAAACTTGGTTTGATTGCAACACAAGAAGAACTTTAAATAGACTCTAGCTAGGCCCCTAACATGGTAAGGAGTCCTTAACCGGACACAATATTGAAAGGAAGCAAAATTCAACAAGGAAACTTAACCTGCAAGTAATAAGGAAAAGACAGAGTTTGACTTAGAATGCAAATAAATGACATGACTCCACACCATCTTCAAGGCGTTCGAACGAAGCCTTCAAGTCGTTGATTCCATCATCCAACTCCCTGTCTCTGTAGTAGAAGATGCGAACTTTCATGAGGTAAGGAGCTCCTACCTCGATCATCACTCTTCTTCCTGGAATAGAGCTCCAAAGTGAGCTTCTTGATCACACTCCCAGACTTAGCCAAATTCTGGTATTTTGCCAGTTTGTGCATACACTTTTGAACAGCTCGAACAATGAACTTCCTGACTTCCCTTCGAGCTCTCAAGCCTCCCATTGTGTAGACAAACATCCCAGCTTCAAAACGAGCACCTAAAACACCATTTTCATTTAACCAATTGAGCAAACCGAGCTCCCAAAGTGGGTTACCTGAAACTGTCAAAACACTTGGCCGAATCTCCAACTTCTTGTACGTGATCGAAGTAGCTTCTTGAATAATCAATTCCAACCTGTAGGGTGAATGTATGAGAATCATATCAAACGGCGCCAAAAACTTGCCACAACACCAAACAATGGCCAAGTGTAACCAATGAAAGCGACTGCAATATAGTGGTGCAACCGTACAAGTAACAAATATTGAATCCTCGGGTCTCTAGAGTTATTATTACTAAGTTTTAGTTAATTATCTAGCAATCCAGATAGGGATGGCAATGGGTCGGGTTGGGTCGGGTTTTGCCAAACCCAAACCCAAACCCAAACCCATGGGTTTATCTTTGAAAAAAACCCGGGGTAAAATCCACAGGGTTTGAAAAACTCAAACCCAACCCAACCCGTTGGGTATCCGCGGTTTCATGGGTACACACGGGTTTTGTCGTAAAAAATTTACAATTACAAGTTCTTATCAAAATTAAAGTCAAATATCAATCTCTCAATACAAATTATCCATATATAAAACACCATTCTAGAAATTCAAGCAAATCACAAATTAACTATACAAATTGTTCAACACCAATCTAGAAAATTCAAGAAAATTGAAGCAAATCACAAATTATCCATAAATAACATGTTTAATTGAAAGCTTCTTTCTTTCAATTAAGTTTCTTTACTCTCCACTCCATAACATCAACTTCATTCTACACAATAAAAAAGAAAAAATTAGACATGTCTCCACAAATATAAATAAGATTAGTTGTTTAGATTATTAAATATACTGAAAAAATTAATTATATGGATGGGCGGGTACCCACGGGCCGGGTTTACCTAAACCCAAACCCAACCCAATCCGGTAAATAGTGAACGGGTTTAAACCCAAACCCGGCCCAAAACCCGTCAACGCGGATTTTACCCGCGTTGACCGGGTTGGGTCGGGTGGGTACCCGTGGGTTCGGGTTTTGTTGCCATCCCTAAAACCAGATTAAGATTGAAGAACTATAACTACTCTAGCAAACTAAACTACTAATTACAGGTTGGGAACTCACTTAGGTATGATTTCCCCTAGCTCCTTAATTAGGTCCAAGTTGTAATTTCCTTTGGTTTTTTTACTGTTGATTAAACTGCGGAAGATCCCATAATAACTTGGAATCTCTTAAGCTGAACAAGGCCTCTTAGACAGAATACCCGGCGGGCGACTAACCTCCACCAGGGTACAAAGCTAAGGCAATACACAAAGATCTCCACTACTGGAATGAATTCCAGTACAAAGTAGTGAATTGACTGACTCTCGCACAATCAATTCACTACTATCAATCGGAGAAGCTCTCTTAACCTAATCAGATTCTATCTATCGTTGGTCAAAGCAAAAATCAAGAGAATGTGATCAAGATTCAATTGACTCAATAAAACATGCTTCAATTGATTAAAACCAACCAGTATAGCATCCAAAATTTCATACAAGAAAGATCCTAACACATGGAACTAGGTTTCCTCAAAACCTAAGTGAAGGGAAGTCACTCCGTAGGGAAGAGTGAGAATGCAGAAATCTGATCTAGATCTTCAATCTCCATCTCCAAGCTTGATTCCCGAGCTCCAATGGCAAAGAAATCCTCCAAAATATCTCCAAGAATTCTCCCAAGTCGCTATTTCTCTCTAGGGTTCGTCCCTTGGGTGTTTGGGAACCAAAACCCAGCTCTCTCTCTAAAATCATAGAAATCATACTTATACCCGAGCAGGGGCGGAAACACCGTCGTGTTTAGTCTTGCCTGTGCTTAGTCCCGCCCGTGTTTTGCATCCCTTCAGAAATCTTCACAAAAGAGGCTCGGCATAAAAAACACTGGCAAGTGCCAGACAAAACACACCCGTGTTTTTAGGGAAGTCTGCCCATGTTTCTTCCTCGGCTTTTGTTCCACTGTATTTAATGCTTTGTTTCTCCCTCGTCTGGACTCCAAATCAGTTGTCATTTGATCCCAAACGCTCGTAGTCTCGTCCTATTTATTTTCATGACAAGCTTACTTGATTTCTTGTCCATAAAATGAGGTAGAAATCCACTATTCTTCAAGTCATGCCCGAGTTTCTTCTCCTAAATCGCCAATTGATCTCCAATGGACTTGAAACTTGCGCCTATGCTTCACTTTACGCGATAGGACCTGAACTATGAAAAAATTACACAACCTAGCATAAAATAGGCCAAGGAGAACACTAATCAAAGAAAAATTGATCAACAAATGAGGGTGTAAATATGTGTAAATATGTAGTCATAACAGGGCCTCTCCATCGCCACACAGTTCACAGTTGACTTCCATATGCCATACCCATATATCCCGTCGAGTGGCTATTCTGTTTTGAAATATTTTATAAGAATAGGAGAAAATATCTCAAACAAGTAAAGTCCCATTGTTCAATTAGTTCTTGTTATTTTGTCTATTTTTCTAATGATTACATTCGTCATTAATCAAGTACGTACTCTCTTAATCGAATAAACAGAAATTCAACGAAGCTTTCCTTATCATTAAAATGGAATTTACTACCGAGGGGAGAGGAAGCCTTTTGTTTCTTGTGGGGAAAGAAAACGCTCGAAACCCTTCCAATTGCATAACCTATATAAAGGGTTTGAGGGTTCCTCTGTCTACTGCATTGCCTAACCCTTGGCGAAGAGACAAGGCTCTGTCTTTATGGAACCTCCTTACAAAGGCCGGGAATTCACCACCTGGTCTAATAGTGGTCGAAATGGAGTTCTTATTGAATACAGAATTGATATGGCCTTTGTTTCAGCCTCATGGATGGAAATATGGCCTAATTTTTGCTTACATCATCCGTCAATGTAGAGGCTCAGATCTTACTTCTCAGACTGTTTCATCTCTTGACAATGACTGAGTCTACTAGAGGGAAAAAACTTTTTCGATAGGATCTTCTGTGGGCTTCCAACCCATAAGCAAAACTTTTAATTAGCGAGGCTGCAGATCGATGGCTCTTTCCAATTCTATCTCTTATACAAACTCTTTAATTGGTGCAACGGTGATACGGTGAATTCGGCCCGGATCATAAAATATCTCCGTCTTGCCCTTGGTACGACCCAAAATTCCCAACTAGTAGACCGAGCTTTAGTTAGAGAGCGCGAAGTCATATTGGGATTTCAGAATGACCAGGTGGAATTGTAATGGCTATAGAAATCCAGAATCAAATGGTTAAAGGAAGGTGATAGGAATAGTAGGTACTTCCTCCACTTGATTACCTCCACAAGACGACAGAAGAATGTCATATGGGGCTTGGAAGATAGTAATGGAGGTTGGTGCACGACTGAGATTGAAAAATGTTTCATAATTGTGGTATTTTTATAAGAGTGATATAGGTTTGGTATTTTAATTAGGTATGATTTAAATCTGAAACCTCCAAGTTTAAGACTAATTGTATTATCAGTAGATTAAACCCTTCTTCGCGTGGATTATTTTAAGGATTTATTTCAAAGCCAATTTATGGATGGGATCAATCTGTCTAACTTGCCTTTCTCTAGGATGGAGAATAACGCACAAAACCTAGGTTTGATTGCACTAGTAACGGTTGAGGAAATTAGGAAGGTGGTCTTTAGTATGGGTAAATCCCAAGCTCCAGGTCCGGATGGTTTCATGGCTGCCTTTTTTAGAATTACTGGATCATTATCGGTCCGGATGTCAATCATGTCATCCAAGCGGTGCTAACATTCTTTTATAATGGGCACCTGTTGATAAGCTTCAACTGCACCTGGATCTCGCTTATCTCAAAAGTGACCAATGTTCGCACCATGTAAAATATAGACCTATAAGTCTTTGTCAGGTATTTAATAAAATCATTTCAAAGATCTTGGCTGATAGACTTAGCATTGTTCTTCCTTGACTAATCTTTGTATCACATAATGGCTCATTAAAGGCATCGGATTACAGATCATATCTTGACCAGCCATGAAATAACTCATCACCTAAAAATTATGTCGTCTTAGAGGAAGACGTGGATGGCCTTGAAACTGGATATGGAAAATACATATGATCGTATAAAATGACCATTTATGTTTGAAATGATGAAGGAATTGGGGTTCCATTCCAAATTAAAAGCAGGGCCGTCCCATGATATTTGGAGGCCCTGTTCAAGAATTTAAAATGTGGCCCCAAAAATTCGGTTACTAAACATTTACAATCCAATGATTTTGCTTCACTTCTAATTTTCGAATCACATGTGTCCAGACTCTTTAATTCTCTGTTTTCTTTTACGCTTAGAACTACCTTTTTCAAAATTTTGGGTTCACATAACTAAAAATTATAACCAAAGATTAGTGATTCCAAATTTCCAATCAATATTAAGTTCCCTGCAAAAGAGAAAGAAAAAAGAACTTAAAATTAAAATAAGTCGATTAATTGGCAGGATAATAGGAATGGACATTGATTAGAAGTTCATTAGAATTGAGTGTGAATAATTAATATTTAGGGGTTGGATGGTTTCAAAAAGTTGAAATTTTTTGGGGAATAGAAAAAGAGAGACGTTAAAAATCTTTACTGTTAATTTTGTTTCATCAAATGGCTTTCAGCTAAGTGGTTGAATCTCTTTTTAATGACCTGATGGTCAGGGGTTCAATTCTCCATCCCGTCAGAAGATGCTCTTCTGCATGTGTGTTTTATGTGGGCTGCTTTGCAAGCCCAAGGGGTCTGCTCCGCCTGCTATTCTCCCTGCGATTATGAGGCCCAAGTTGGGTCTGCTCCGCCTGCGATTATGAGGCCCAAGTTGGATCATTATGACTTATGAGGCCCCCGAAAATTTGAGGCCCTGTGCTGTGGGTCTGACCAGCACAGGGCCTGGGCCGGGCCTGATTAAAAGCCCGGATAAAGGATTTCCTTATTATGGTATCTTATGTTATCATTAAATATGGAAACCCAATGAAGTTTTTCCGCCCTTCTGGAGGAATCGATCACGGCGACCCTCTCTTTGCTATGTTATTTGCTATATGCTCGGAAGTTTTTTCAGGGTTGATAATTAGTTAGGCAGTAGCTATGGGATTCTGGGAAGGAGTGCGCCCCCGATTAACATTCC